TTATGATCCATTAGGACTGCTTGGTCCAGGAATAACAAAAGCAAAAATCTTCATCCAAAGACTTTGGTTATTGAAACTTGATTGGAACGATCCGCTACCCGAAAGGATAATTAAGGATTGGCAACTTTTTATTGATTCAATGCAATCTATCAACAATTTGAAAGTCAGTAGATATGTTTTACAGGATAGTTTTCTGATATACAAATTCATGGATTTTCAGATGCATCAGAACACGCATACGGAGTAGCCATCTATTTACACTGTAGAAGTGACAATAATTTCTCTTCACATTTGCTTTGCAGCAAGTCCAGAGTAGCTCCACTAAAACCGCTGACAGTACCTCGACTGGAACTCTGCGCAGCTGTACTGCTAGCACAGCTTGTTGCAAAGGTGGTGCCTTTATTGAAACTGGACATCAGTAAAATATGTCTGTGGTGTGACTCAACCATAGTGTTAGCATGGCTTCAGAATCCTCCGCATGTACTAAAAACTTTTGTTGCTAATCGAGTGTTGCAGATCCAAGAGCTAACACATACATGCCAGTGGAATTATGTGCATTCAGAGGAGAACCCAGCAGACCATATTTCCCGAGGACTGAATTTTGACAAACTGCATGATGCTGATCTGTGGTGGAAAGGTCCTCCATTCTTGAGTGAGGGTGTCATACCTAACAAGAACATTGACTTTGAACAATTAGAAAAAACAGAGACATTTTCTAATGAACTGAGAAAAAGAACTGACATTGCTTGTTTTATGCACTTTGCCTTCAAAATTTATTGATAATGTCCTAGATATCACTAACAATTATTTAAAATTATTACGTATTGTTAGTTATATTTCAGGTTCCTTTGGAACTCTAGGTGTTCAAAACAGAAAGGAGCACAGAGAAGAACAGGAGGAGTAAGTTTCAAAGGAGTTAAATGAGGCAGAATCCTTTTTAGTAAGAGAGGTTCAAAAATGTAGTTTTTATTCAGAATACAACTCCCTCGCACAAGGTAAACCCATTAATAATAAAAGTAATTTTACTTTCTTTGAACCCTTTTTTGGATGCAAATAATGTAATGAGAGTAGGAGGCCGATTACAAGGGGCCAATGTAATGTTTTCACAAAAACATCAAATAATTTTGCCTGTTAATGCAAACTAACTAAGCTGATTGCTGAGCATTATCATCAGAAATATTTACACGTAGGTTCGCAAGCATTATTGTGTTTTATGAGACAGAAATTTTGGCCATTACAAGGTAGGAATTTAACTAGAAAGATTACCCATGAATGTATAATTTGTAGTAAAAATAAACCAGTCACTATCGAACAAATTATGGGGTCATTACCTGCAGAGCACGTAAATCCAAGCTCACCCTTTAATCATGTCGGCACCGATTTTTGCGGTCCATTTTTTATTAGGTACAAGGGACAGAGGAAAGGAACTCTTCATAAGGTATATTTAGCTCTTTTCATTTGCCTTATAACAAAGGCAGTGCATCTCGAACTAGTGAGTGACCTCACCACTGACGCATTTATTGCCACCTTAAAGAGATTTATTGCTAGGCGCGGAAAATGCCTCAATCATTTTCTCAGACAACGCGAAAAACTTCGTTGGCGCAAATGCCGAATTGCAAAGAATTAACAATTTAATTAGAAATCCTGACAAAAAATTAGCAGATTATTTAGGTGAAGAAGGAATAGTATGGAAGTTTATTCCCCCACGGACACCTAATTTTGGTGGACTATGGGAATCTGGAACAAAATCCATGAAATATCACTTAAAGCGGATTGTAGGTAATGCAAGGTTGACTTTCGAGGAGTTATTAACTGTAGTAACTCAGATAGAGTCTGTTTTAAATTCTCGCCCTATTACTTACTCCCTTATCTTCCGATGTAAATGATTTAGAGGCATTAACACCAGGTCATTTTCTCATTGGAAGATCCTTGAATGCTATAGTAGAACCCGAATTAATTGATATACCTGAAAACAGACTCTCAAGATGGAAACGAACTACCAGATTTGTCCAGTTGATATGGAATCGTTGGCATAGGAACTATTTAAACACACTACAACAGCGTTCAAAATGGAAGGTAGAACAAACGAATATTAAAATAGGTATGCTAGTACTAGTTAAGGAGGATGAGCTTCCTGTCTGTAGATGGGTGTTAGGGCGCATTACAAGAACTTTTTCCTGGAGTTGGACGGTAAGGTTAGAGTAGTAGAAATACAGACAGCAAAAGGCATCATTAAGCGTGGAATTACAAAAATTGCAATTTTACCCCAAGAAGAAGCTTCCTAAGTTCAGTTAAGTGTTAGCTTATTAATATAAAACTTGTATTGTACATTGTATTGTGTATAAAATTTTGTATTGAAAATTGAATATTATTATATTGAATTAAGAGATGATATTTCGTATTGCTTTATTGTATAAGGCAGTAATTGTACAATTTTGTAGGTTATTATGAGTATTATCGCACGAAATTATTGAAGTAACCCTTCAATGCCGGGGGGTATGTTAAGTCATTAAGACTATTTAACTGTAAGATTACGTCATTTTTTCTCTTCTTGGCACCTTGCATTGGCGAAGATGTTCATACAGCAACCCTGTAAACGCTTACTCAGTTTTTTTTTATTGCTGTTGTTGTTAGTAGTAAGTCATCGCTTGAAAGATGGCACGCATTTGATTAAAGTTGTCGAATAAAATATTTAGTACAGTCCACTTCTAGTTAATTTGAAATTGTATAACAACGCACGCATCGCATGAACAAATGCATTTACTATACTCTCCTCTAAAAAGTAAAAAAAAAAAAAAAAATCATGTGCCACCATTTCTTGCTTTTGCGGTCTATTTCATATAGTCCTTTCAGTTGCTCAATCAGCCGACATATCCCATGTTCTTATTGTATAAAATAATGCTGTTTGGATGCAGTACTTTTTTTGTCTTTCCATCTCGTTCTTTTCTATTAATTTCTTTCATTTGAGTTGCCTTTTCCAAGCAAGACAGGATAGAAACGGATCTTTTATCCTTCCATTTTATGCAATAAATTGAATCATCTCTAACTGAAAAGTCTATATATTTTCTTGACATAAATTTGTGGGTAGATACTTCCGATTCATATTTACAGTGCCACATGCATAGATGGCAGCCACACGCATAGATGGGTCTGTGTCTTTAAAAAGCGAAACAAATTATAACTACTTTCCTTTCTTCTTCAGCAATAACTTCAACCTCATTTATTCTCTCTTGGATTTCAATTTCATCTGAATCAGAACTGACATCTGAAGCATTTGAGTCGCAATCGGATGGCAATTCAGCAAAAAGATCCAAAGCTTCCTGTGTTGTTAATTTTTTTCTAGACATTTTAGCACATCAGAGCATACAACGGATGTAAAAGCGCGCGCAATCACGAAAAAAGTAGATGCAAAAAGAAAAGAAAAAATAATCGTGAGTGCTGCCATCTATTGAGCGGAAATTCAAGTGTGTGGTGGGACAAATTTTAACCCACTTATTTCAACTGCAAAATTAATGTTATAAAATATTGAATCCAATTAAGATTTTTGAAAATAAAATATCTTTGAATATTAAAAAGAATCATGCATATCCTAAAGTATACCAAAATGTTTAAAATATTGTAAAATGCGAGATACATGAATATCACTTTTGTGATCCTATTTTGAATATTTTTTGCTTATAAACTGAAGCCCTGGTATAGTAGTGACATCTACTGAAAAAAATAATAACTAAAATAGATTATTTTTAAAAGATTAGAAAATTTCTAATGGAAATTGCTAACTGAGAAAAATAAATATTAATTAGGTGGGACATATATTGACCCACCATGCCGCAAAGGGTTAAAAATAATATCTACATTTTTAATTTCATTATTTCATAATTCTTTCATAGCTAAGAACATTTACTCTGAAATAAAAATAACAAATTTTAAATATTTTTATTTCAAAATACATAATGCTCTTGATTAATGAAAAACTCAAATCTTTTGCTGAAATCTTCCAATCTATAATTAGCAATGTCTGAGAAAGCAACTGGTTATTCACTTGCTTTTTTACTATCATTTCAAATAAATTGTTTGCACTTCAATGGCTTAAATTATTGTAAGTGAAACTGTTATACAACTTCAGAATGATTGCTTTGACATGCTATTTTGCAGTGGGTTAGCAGAATTACATTCTAATATATTTTTAGTTTGGCTAATTAGTTGTTAAAATTATAATGTTTACTTAAATAAATTATTACAATACAGTAGCTAATTTTACTACTTATTTCAGTAGAAAATATATTTTTAAAATTATTGATTCTGCTATTGATATCATTCCATCAAATGAGTTAAAATAACATGCTGAATAACAATTATTGGAGAAGTTAAAGCAACAAGAATCAGCCTAATATTCGTAAACCTTCTTCAGAATGAGCATTTTGCACTTCTGTAGATGAAGAAGGTTCTGTATTTAAACTTTTGAAACTAGTCCTGAAAATTTATGAATATTGGGCTGATTCTTGTTGCTTTAACTCCTCCAATAATTCTATTAGTTCTTGATTCAAAATCAAGAACTATTCCATTAGTTCTTGATTTTGAATCTTTAATCCTAAATATTGAAATTAATTATTTTTATTATAAATTAAAAAAAATTATCTCAAATTTAATTGTTTTATTAAAATATATTCAAGGCTTACAAAAGTAATATATTAGTTTCCTGTTTATTTTTAAATCAGTTGTAAGAATTTTAAATATCCAAATAAATTTCATAATAAAAGTTATAGTGTAATGTTTGTATTTATAAATATTAGAAAGAAATTGTGAGTAGGCTATCTTGGCTTTTTGTTTTTATTATTGCTTATATTTTACATTATTTTAATTTATTGTATTTCTGTATTACCATAAACAATTCCCAATTTCCCTTTGATTTTATTTGCATTTATAAATGAAGTCAGTACAGAACAGTGCTATTTTATGTTATTATTATTTATACTATTTTTTACTGAAATTTTTTTTAGATTGAAGAAGTGGCTTGCAAAAGAAGCTGAGAGAGAAGCAGAAAAGCTGAGACGACGAAAAGAAAGACTTGAGCGTCTAAAATCAAAGCCAAAACATAATTTTGTAGATTTTGAATTTGAAAAGGAGATATCAGAGTTGCCTGAACGTGTTGATGATGCTGTTGCTAAAGGTATGTTCTATTTTCAGTTGCAAAGTGTTAATTTATAATAGCTGAAGACTTAACAGTATGAGAAATTGACAACATGTATTCTTCATGATTAAATCTGGAAAACATTTACTAGCATTATTAATTGATAAAATAATTGCAGTTATGTAATACATTCTTGATATTTTGAATCCAATTATCCCTAGGATTATGATTTAGGTTAAGTGTTTTGAGCAAGTTTTTCTCTATTAAGGGATTTCTTCTGTGTCAGGTAACTCTCATAGGTATTAGCCATAATTAGCTCTGACTGCTGCATTTACCTTCTTTTGCAGATTATTCGAAGTTGTAACCTTTTTTGGTTATAAATAACAAAGAAAAATACATTTATTTTAAATATTGCATCATAAAACTCTTACTACCAAAATAACATGCTTATATTGTAGTATAAATAAATTAGACAAATTATTCCAGTAATTTGAACACACTTGTTTTAGTTTCTTTGCCTTGTTATTTAAAAATTCATATTTGAGGGGTGAGGGAAGATTATTGTACTTTATTAATTCCCAAGCTGCATGGAAGAAAGAACAGAAATAACTGGAAATTTGCTCTGACTCTGAATTTTGCTTATTATAGTGTACTCTTTGTATGCTTCATTCTGCTTAATGTTTGCACAAAGATTTGAAGAAGATAACTTAAAATTCTTAATCATTGAAGGAAAACTGGCATATTTACTGTAGTTATTTAGGCAAATGTCACGATTAAATTACTATCATGTTGAAATGTATTTCACATTAATAAAAAATAATGATGAAAAACGTAGCAACTAAAAAAATTACCTCAATTACGAAAGGACATGAGAATGAGTTAAGGGTAATATGATTAAAAAGCAGCTGAGAATTATTTTTAACAAATGCAGATTTCAGTAGTATATTTTCATTTCTGTAGTAAATTCTTAAAGGGGAAGAAAACCCCTCATTTTAATGGTTATACATGGCATATTCAGAAATTACATTCCATTTAGTTAAATGAGTAATGGTAGATATAAATATTTTTATTTAAATAATTTATCACTGAAGAATTTACCATGATATGGCACCAATTTTTACAATGCATGTTCATGAAAATCTGCAGCTTGTTCATTTACATAAAATCTTGTTTCACTTTCCTTTGTCAATGAATTATTGTAGATAAGTATTTTCAACTGCTAGAAAAGATGTCTAATGGTGTCAGGTCTGGACTATAGGGAAGGTAATCATTTGTTTTCAGCCAAATTACTTCTTGATAATTTGAATATGAAGAATGATGTATGGTTGAGTGTTATCATAAATCTTATCATAAATAGTTCTGCTCCTTGAATAAACATTCTGCGTCTCTTATTTTGAACTGCTGATAGGTTTATTGTTTCGTGTCAGAACAAAATTTGTATGAACGAAGCTTCATATCAGCCCCCAAAATGCCATAGATATTATACTGGTTGAAACCTTTAACTCAGATTTTTATTTCTAGTGGGATTTAAGAGCTATCTGTATTTCATAGATTGATATTTCAGCTTCAGAGTAGCACATAATATCCTTATTTCATGTTCTATTGAATCACATAGATAAAACTCCATATTTCCATCTTCATTCTTAAGAATTCATCATCTGTATAATGCTAGTAAGTGAAGAAATAAAATAAAAAAAAAAAAATTCTTTGCACAAACTTTTACTTAGACATAGAAGCCATATGTGTTCTTGGTACTTTCCAATTAACTGCATCCCCACTGGAAAGTTGTTAACACCTGGCGACTAAATGTTTGTCTAGCTAGTGTAGTAAGGCAAAAGCTATTTTCAAAATGGGGTGTATTAAAAATTTTATAAAAGAACAATTAATCAATAAAAGTGCAAGAAACTTTGGTAATAAAACACCTGCCTCTTTTGAGAAAATCTGTTGTAACTTTTTTGCACCATTTTTCTTCCCGTGTTCATGTGATCTGTTTTGGTTAAAAGACATCAGAGAATTGCATAAAGTATTGTGCACCAGCCAACAGTAAATAAAGCAACTAACTGTTAAAACTAGAAACAGCTATTTACAAATCCTGCATTCTAACACATTGTTTGCAGTTTTGTAATTCATGGCTTGCAGATTTTCATTAAATTAAAAAAAAAAAAAATTTGGTTGTTTAAGAAATGCAGCTTCATAGAATGTGAATTTTTACCTTCTGTATTGTTGGGTGAAACGCTGTATTTTTGCAGAAATGCAATGCTTTCTTTTTCATTGGCTAGCATACTCCAAAGTCCCATTATGATTTATTACAAGAAAAACAAATGTTCTCAATGTCAAAAAGAAGCAGTGATCTGAAAAAAGATAGTTGAATATCAACAGTGCAAATCCGTGTATACTTAAATATGTGTGCTATGCACATATATAAGTTGCCTCATAAATACTTTTTGCAACGTCATGGGCTGTCACATAACTGTTTTGATGACATACCGCGTTGCCTCATGAGTACATGTTCATGACCTTTCTCTGGAGTTCTGGAAAATCAGGTTCTTTAGTTGTAATGAACTTTTGCAACCTGTGGATTTTTCTAGTTTATATACTCTTGTTCTGTATGAATTTATGTAATGAGTTATAAAGAGAAGTTAACCATTATGCAATTTTATATAGAACTGAACACCTACATATTGGTGGGTTATTAAATTTTATATTTTAAAGTAAGTAAAATATTAAGATATTAGCGAGTTTGGAAAATGAGAAATCGTTTCTAAAGTGTTTTTTGTCATAAGAATCAGATATTTGTATTTTAATTAAATAAAATTAATTTTTTAGGTCTACAGAAAGCTACTACAAATCCTGCCATAAAACGAGAAGCTAGCGAGCCTGCATGTTCATCCAAAAAGAAATGTGTCTGGTAAATAGCTGTCTCTATTTATTATTTTTAAAATGGAAAGTACGTTTAATTTTAAGCTGTATTTTTGTTACTTTGAATTTTTTTCTGAATCTGTATTGAATTTTAGATGCATTATGAAATGTAAATGTATTAAGAATAAGAAGAAATTGTTTTTAGCATATTATCCTGCTAGTCCAAGTTTTTGGCAATAAATTTATTAAACTATTAAAACAAAATGAGCAGATTTCATGCCCTTTTAATGATTTTCTGCTTTATTTTTCATACTAAATTTTTTTTGTGTGTGTGAATTGTCTTAATATATAGTAAGAACATTTTATGAAGGTTCAGTCATTGTTTAATCAGTTAATATTTGTATATTATTTTGCTTTACATCAATATGTGATAGGATTGCTAAGTTTAATCTCTTATAGTAAGTAAATTAATTATCTATTTTATCTCTATCTATATCTTGTTTAAAAATACTTTAATAAATTTAAGCTTTCCTTTCTCTACTCAGGATTTTCTCAGTATAAAAGTATGAGAAAATTACGAAATGAAATTAGTCAAAAGAGCACAAAATTTGTAATTTGTAGTTAAATAGTGATATATTTGATAGTAAAATCATATTATAAATTATTAAATAACCTGAATCGTGCATTTGAAAATGAGTTTGAGTTTAATTACTGGAATTCTTTTGAAGTGGCACTGGCGTGCAACACAAAACTCTCAGTTTGGGACACAAGCATCTCCTAGTTTTTTGTATTTCAAGGTCAGCAATATGCAATTTGCACAAAACTAGATTATACCATGATTGCATTCATCTACTGTTTCTTACCTTAAAATCATTTATGTTCTGTAGTTCATATTTTCGTGAGCATATAGTATATTAATACAATAAAATTCAGTACTTTTCCATTTTGCCGGTGCAAATCTTGCCAAGCAGACTTTATGGGCTTAAACACTCCAGATGATGACAAATCGTTCCTCTGTTTCTTATTTCATCATTTGGTGTAACCGCACAGTCTTTCTGTTTTTTATGTGTGCGTTCTAGTTTCCAGATTAAGAAAATTGCGTTTATAGTTGACTTTGAAATGTTCGAAACTTTCCTTTTTCAGTGCAGTATAATTTCCACGAATCAGAATATATTACAGTTCCTTTTCCAATATTTTCCTTAATGTAATGCTCATGGATCGGTTTGGCACCTTCACGAGGAAACATTCATTTGTTTCACGGCAAACTCACCAAAGATGCACTGTTGCAGTAGAATCTGCCCCACATTGTTTCTGCACTTCATGAACATACTTTCATCCACTTCGATGATAATACCAGGTCCTACTATTTTCTGTTGTTGAGGTTTAAGCAAAGAATCCAAACAAACCTCACACATGTAGTTATTCCAGTCCACAACTGTTATGTGACTTGATTTCCAACTGCTCTTCATGCCATTTAACTGAAGTTAATTCTTCGCTCCAACCATAAATAAATATCACACACTTCAAGAAATAATTTCGATGACTCAGATCATCTGCCTTTTCTGATAATTCTTTTACTGCGAGAAGTTGAAAGATTGTAGTGCCATTGAATTTCATCATCTTCCTCTATTCTGGACAAATTCCTAATTTTCGGTGGTTTTTCATTCATTTTTGACGTATTAGGAAAAAGAAACTGATAAGAAAGGGCACGACTTGTTTTGAAAATGTAGCGATAAAAGGTTACCAGCGGGGATGCTACATTTGCCGCCGGTTGTATCAGCCTGCGCCGGCAAAATGGAAAAGTATCTAAAATTCTAATAATCCATATACCTTGAGACCAGGGTTTGCACATATTAGATAATTTTGTGTTTTCTATGTCATGTCTCTGAGTTTTGTTTACATTTTCCGTTTTTAAATTTTGATTATTAGACATAAATAACTTAATTACTTATACATTAAGAATTATGTAACATAAAACCATTATATTTTTTTAGATATGAGTATATACATTAATGTTATGAATAGTAACTTGTATATTTTTTAATATTTCTGTTATTTATTCAATACTGGAAATTTCTTTTTCATTACTTTTTTCTAAAGTCTGTGTACTATTACTATTTCCTGATGTGTTACTTTCCCCCACCCACTCTAGAAAGTTTAGGTACTGTTGATCTAATGCTTAACCTTGATTGAAAGTAATTTTTGCATCCTTGTTATCAGACTCATAGTCTGAATTTTAACTTTTTGAGTTTAAGGCACTTGAAATCATTTGTCGCATGTGAAATTATCAGTCTATTCCAATATAATAAGAGCTTTATGTTTGGAAATCATTCAGTGCAAAATATTTTCTTTTTTTTAAATCTCAGATAAATCTCATATCTGCAACATCTCTTTGCAATTCTCTAATAAAGATTGCAATGTTTTTGCGCCTCTTTGAAGAAATAATTTTTAAATCTATCCATCCTTAATTTTCTGAACTCTACTCCTATTGCTCATATGTGATAGGTATCGATTCTTTTCAGTATCTCAGGACAAATGTTTTTGCTTTAAGTCTTATAAAGCTTATAGGCAAATAATGCTTTGCCTTATTAAGGAATTTGTGTGTTTTTTACCATTTTTGCAGGTAAGGATATCATTTGGATACACCAGCATTTTTCATGGGAGACTTTACCAAAAGTGTCTTATCGTAACTATGTTCTAGATTTAGTTTAGATTCCAAAATTTTTTCATTTGCAAGCTTCAGCTGGTTTTCTATTTGCTAATGTCTCCTGAACTTATAATCCTTCATGTAACACTGCACAGAAATGTGCCAAATTCATGATTTTTGAAATAGCATCAAGCTGTAGGCTAAAGCAGTTTCTCACCTGTCAAAGCCATAACCATGTCTTTGTGATCCTCACATGCATTTTAATTAAAAACTAGTTATGGTAACTTATTATATCACTGAAGCAAAATGTGCTTCAAAAAATACTAGCAAAATTATAGTGAAATGTTGCCATGTTTACTTGCTTCAAAATGTTCAGAAGCCATGTCTTGTGTTCAGTTAAGATTTTTCAGACACTCATGGCAGTCATGACAGCTGCAATTGAATAAACACCAAGACTACATAAAAATAGTACCTGCTTCAAAATCAGTGTCATCGTTTTTTGCATATGGACCTCCCAACAATGCACTGACGTTCTGCAAAAGATTCAAACTCCGTTTAGATCCAATTTTGCGTGGACACTTTCATGGTTTTCTCCATGTGTAATGTGTATACGAGCTAGTTTTCTGTAGAAATTCCTCCACGAAGGCATACCTTCCCTTAGGCAGATAGCCCTAGTGTGCTTTGCCATAATCACATGAAACCAATTATTCTTAGATCCATTTTATCCACTTATATAATGAAAATGTATTTCTTGTGCCAGAGGGAAATAAATTATTTATAACGAATTTGTTACCAGAGTAAGTTAACCTGTGAATAGGTGGATTTAGCGAGTGTCCTATAAAATTGAGCTAATCAAGTCAGGGACAGAAACATAGGGAAATGTATCCTAATGTTTTATTTTTTTAATCTTTTTGTACGTAAAATCATAGGTAATATGTCTTTTATGTTGTTTAATATGCAGTTTATGCTGCTGAATCCCTTTCCTTCCTCCAACTTAGGAACTACTTGAGTGTTGTGTTAAGTATTACTGATTAATTCGATTAAGTATTACTGATAGCTCTCCTCAAAAGTTGACATCTCTGTGAAATGAGGATTTTCTACGTTAGAAAATAATGAATTTGTAGCACAGGAAAATTTATCTACTTCATTATTTTTTAAGAAATGTTGTTTTTACAGCATATTTATTAGATATGCATCATGTGTTTTGAATTAGTATGCTCATTATCAGATTTACTCTTGAGACAAACATTGAAGTGACACACTTTCATGCTCTGTACTAATATGATTTGTTTAAAATATTTTAACCAATTTTTACCTCCTTCAAAGCATTACTGATTAATCTTTGATTTTAACATTCTTCTCATCACTATTAAATTACACACAGTTTTTGTTTAATTTCATTGGAGATATGTTTCTGATTCAATCAGTTTCAGTTGTCATTTCAGGACAAGGCAAAAATATGTAAAATTTCAAGACATCTTCATTAAAAATTGTAAAACATAGAAAAATGTAAAATACCAAAAACAGTGTTCCCCCCTCAATTATATAAGAACAAGCTAGGTGGCTAAAGGGCAGGAAGACCGAACTTTAAATTCATTTTATGATCTATTTTAGAGAAATGAGTCCTTTATTCTTTCTGATTGTTCAGATGTTATATAATAATAATAATAATTCAAATGGATTTTATTGTCTGATTTTAATATTTTTTAAATAATTTCTCCGATTAAAATCAGAATTTAAAGCATTGATTTTAATCTTATAATTAAAATTGTTAACACTCTGATTTATATCTTAAAAATATGTTTTTACTTCAATGCAGTCTTGCAGTTAACTGTAAGTATATGCATAACACAAGTTATAATTGAATTTGCCGAATGCTTTTTACGAACTGTGCAGGTACAGTACAAAGTCCAAGATCTGGACTCGTCGGGACTTCCGCGATTTCGCGTTTAGGATTTTTCCGAATATTAGATCATCAGTTTAAATCTAGTAAGATGGCATGTAGAAATAATAAAATTAAAAATAAGAAATAATGAAGCATTTATGATCTAAAGGGTATCAAAATTTAGATAAAAAGGCTTAATATTTATTTGTTTACTTTATTAAACATTTCTTTTAAGTTGTTTAAGTTGCCTCGTTTTTTGTGCAAATACTTTCTCTTTAATTCTATAGACAAAATTTTGGTAAAATCCTAATATATGGACTAATATATATTGATGTGATTTTGAAAATTGTTGCCCACACCAAAATGACCCGTTTACTGCTCATCATAAATGTCACGTTTACAGAAGTGAAATTAAGAATCGGGAAGGAATCCACAGGAAGTCCACACGTGCGGGTGAGGAAGGACATGCGTAAAGCATACACACACAAAATAAATAAATTAAAAATTAATAAATAAATAAAAAAAAGTTGGTGATTCCTTTGAGGTCCGGATTTTAGATCATTCTGGATATTGGATGTCCGGATCTTGGACTTTGTACTGTATTTAGAAAATATTCTAGACTTGGCATGCCTGAATATAAAGAAGTCTGGGACTTTTACGATCAGCAAATCTAAATTGTGAATCAAATGACTAAGATGTATCAGTTAAAAAAACTATTTTATTTACTTTTGTGTGGTATGATAAATTCTTTCTGTTGAAAACTGTCATCAGGGATTTGCTAAATTGAATTTCATTATACGAAATTTTTACATACCGTCCAAACATTGCATTAATTATAATGAAAATTAACTTTTAAATCTAATTTATAAGATAGGTCTATGCCTGAATAAACTGCAGTACTTTTTCTAATTTTTAAATAGGCTTAATAGTGTGCATTTGTGCCATATTCCCATATAATGCTGTCATGAAATCTATCATTTTTGCATCCTATCATATACTATAAACTGCATTAAAACAAGTTTTGCATTTTTTGCTAATATGAGCTCTAGTTTAATTGATATGCATATAAATAGTTTTTTTTTTTTTTTTTTTTTTTTTTTTTTCCCAGGCTGGATGAGGATATTAGTAGTGAATCAAGTTCTAGTGAAGCTGAGAGTCAGGAAAAAGATTTTTCTGCAACTAATTCTGAAATTTCTAATGATAAAGATTATTCTAACCAGAGTAGTGTTTCAGAAAGTATAAGCAGGGAAATTTCTGAAGATTCTCTAGAATTGAACACTGATAAAGATGAAGATGAAGCAAATAATGTAGGATTCACTAAAACTGAGTTTAGACAAACTGTAAATGAAGAAACAGCATTGGAGAAATGTAACTTTGAAACCAGTAATGAATCTTCATCAATAGTGCAAGAAAGGAATAGCTTTGAAATCAGTGATGAGTCATCATTGATGAACCAAAGTCCAAATGATAATAATGTTCCAGAAGAAAGAAAGAAAGAAACTGAAGAACACTGTAAAAGAAATTCTCCATCTGTTGAAAATCATCCTGTTGTCAAAGAGGAGGTAAGTTGTTTAATAATAATATTTGATTTAAGCCCCGTTCACAAGAGCAGATTCGACTGGCAGGGAAAAACGTTTCTTCCAACATGTCCCATTACATTAACTGCTCCCCAACAAGCATTAACTGCTTCTCCAAATTGGAGGTAGAATTTGCTAGAATGCTTCACTTAACTTTAGTTACTGCTTGTTGGACTGTCAGCAAAACAGTCGCATTTGTAGATGTCTGGGGATGTGATAGCATCACTCCAAAAATTAGATGGAACTGTACAAGATATGGAAATTATTCATAAACAAATACAGACAAGGTTATCTGATGCTGGATATTCCAGAAATATCATTCAAATTAAAATTAAGACAAGTGCATATTGGCTTCAACTCGACAAGGGACTCTGTACCTTTTGAATGAATTTTTTTTTTTATTTAAGAATTTTCATCTGCTTTTTTATGAATATTATTAAATGGTTTTGTTAGACAAAATGATTTCAAGCTGAAAAAAAAATATTACTAATTTTTTTATTTAAATTTTTGAAGAAAAATTTAACAATTAAAATATCTTTCTTCTCCTACAGTTTTCAATGTTCCCCTCCAGATTTTTTTATTGTACTTAGAGTATTCTTAATAACTGAAAGGAACGATTTTGCAATTAATGAATTTGTTTCTGAGAAAAAAAAAAAAAAAAAAAAAAAACACATTTTTATGTAAAATCTTAGAAACAAATATGATCTCAGTCACATTCTCATTTCAAATAATTTTTCTTTTCAGTATTTTGCAAAATCCATCCTTGTTTCTATAAAGTATACAATTTTAAATAAACAGTAAAAATAATAAATAATTTAGTCCATACCTGTATATGTTTTAGGACTTTACATAAAAGGATTTATAAAAAAAAATGCAAACTTTTCTCAGTTTGCATTTGCAGTTTAAAGAATACAATCTTTCTAAATAGACATTAAATCATTTCAAATTTCTTTAAAATTTTATTACTGAATTTCAATAGCACATTTATATTATATATAAATAAAACCTAGTGCTACTTATACTTGAATTAATTATAATGTTGTTGCATGTGTACGGGTTTGTAATAGATTGATAATAGTTCATAAATGATTGTCATTGCACTCAAATCTGATGATGGCTTAATTAAATTAATTTTATTAACAAAAACACTTCGAAGTTGCGGAATTTTCCCCAGAAATACTCGTACAAGTGTTTAGAATATCACTAAGTATTATCAGTAGTTATGCTTCAAACTGCTAAGAACATTAAACACAACGCAATGCAAAGCACATCTTAAGAGAAAGCTAACTCAGAAATATGTTTGATCTCACGCTGAACTAACAACTCACAGTCATAAAAATAGTGTGGTATTATGAGATTATTATTTTGAAGCCGATGTTTTGAATTATGCCCAAGAAGAACCAGTATTTCCCATTCTAATTCATTGCATGTCTTTTAAAAAAGTAAAAAATAATGCAATTAATTTTCTTTGTCATTTTTTTTAAATGCGAAAAGTTTGTTTTATAAGCTGTGAAAATTTCGGAAGTTTCTAACCGATATATTTTTAATATGAAATTTTAAAATTAATGGGCGTCAAAAAGTCTAAAAATATGAGTGATTTTTCAAAAATTCTCCCCAAAAATATATAATATATAAAATTTATTTAATTTTTTCCTCCACTGTATCTTATGATGCAAACATTAATACAGTACAAAGTCCGTACTCCGGACTCGTCGGGACTTAGGCGATTCTGGATTAGGGGTTTTTTCAGATTATAGATCATCAATTTAAACCTGGTAAGATGGCATGCAGAAATTATACAATTAAAAATCTGAAACCGTAATTTATGAAATAAAGAGCAATTATGATCTAAAGGGTATCAAAATTTACAAAAAAAAAAAAAAAAAAAAAAAAAAAGCTTTATTTATTTGTTTACTTTATTAAACATTTCTTTCAATGTAAGTTTTTTAAGTTGCTTCATTTTTTGTGCTAATACTTTCTCTTTAATTCTCTCTTCTATAAACAGACATAATTTGTTACAAAGTTCCACTGTTCAAATCCTGTAATTGCTGTGTCCAGAATACTGACTAACTTGTCAATGAAATTTTTTCGCTTTCAATAACCTCTCTGTCACTTTCTTCACTATCGGAAGCATGCATGTGTCTTAACGACTTTACTGGCTTTATGCGCATGTGTAAGTTTGTGGCTTTGAGGTCCGGATAATGGATGTCTGGATTACGGACTTTGTACTGTATTCTGAAATTCTCAGTGTATTTGTTAATATTTGCAAAAAATCGTTTCAACTTTAAATTTGAAAAAAAATGAAAATTGTGGCACCACATCCACAAGCAATGTATGTACAAAGTTTGAGTTCTATATCTTATTGGAAAGCAGTTTAAAAATCAATGACCATCTTTTAGCCTTAGGTACAAACACAAAGAGTGAGCTAAATAAAAGCTTATAAAATATTGGGTTGGCAACTAAGTAATTGCGGATTTCACTCATAGATGGCTTCAGTTGAATTTTTAGGGTTGCAGACGTAGTACAAATGTAAAACACATTTTGTTATTTGATAGTTGGCAATTCAGCTGTCAATCAGTAAAAAAAGTTTTTTGATCGGTTGCATAGTTTTCGTTTGGCGTTCGTTGAAAAATGGAAAATCAAAAGGAACATTTTCGTCATATTTTGCTTTTTTATTTCCGCAAAGGGAAAAATGCATCATAAGCTCATAAAAAGTTATCTGCTGTTTATGGTGATGAAGCCTTAAAAGAACGGCAGTGTCAAAATTGGTTTGCCAAATTTCGTTCTGGTGATTTTTCACTCAAAGATGAAAAACACCCTGGTCGTCCAGTTGAAGTTGATGACGACCTAATCAAAGCAATAATCGATTCTGATCATCACAGTACAACACGTGAGATTGCAGAGAAGCTTCATGTATCACATACATGCATTGAAAATCACTTAAAACAACTTGACTATGTTCAAAAACTCAATACACGGGTTCCTCACAAAACTGAAAGAAACGCATTTAACGCAACGCATTAACAGCTGCGATTTGCTAAAAGAAACTTAATGAAAATGATCCATTTTTTAAAACGACTGATAACTGGCGATGAAAAATGGGTTGTTTACAACAATATCAAGCGGAAAAGATCGTGGAGCAGGTCAGGTGAACCAACTCAAACAACATCAAAAGCTGATATTCATCAAAAGAAGGTTTTTTTATCAGTTTGGTGGGATTACAAAGGAATTGTCTACTTTGAACTCTTACCACCCAACCGAACGATCAATTCTGATGTCTACATTGAACAACTAACAAAATTAAACAATGCAGTTGAAGAAAAGCGGCCCCGAAATGACAAATCGAAAAGGTGTTGTATTCCATCATGCCAATGCAAGGCCACACACATCTTTGGTCACTCGGCAAAAATTATTGGAGCTTGGTTGGGATGTTTTGCCACATCCACCACATAGTCCTGACCTTGCACCATCTGATTACTTTTTGTTTCGATCTTTACAAAACTCCTTGAATGGTAAAAATTTCAATAATGATGATGATGTCAAATCGTACTGATTCAGTTTTTTGCTAATAAAAACCAGAAGTTTTATGAACGTGGGATTATGATGCTGTCTGAAAAATGGCAAAAGGTCATTGATCAAAATGGGCAATACATTACAGAATAAAGTTATTTAGTTCCATGAAAAAATTATCTTTGATTTTCTGAAAAAAATCCGCAATTACTTAGTTGCCAACCCAATAATTATAATAATAATTAAAAAGCATATAGTTTTCAGAAACCATTACGAATTTTCCGGTACCAGTTGCGAAAGTACCAATTACGATATTATTAACAACAGTAAACAACGTTAAAAATGTGTAAACAGTATTAGAAATCAGCCAATTCATTGATGTGATTGTTCACAGAGCAGTGGCGTAGCTAGGGTGGGGCAAGGGGGGATATCTGTCCATGGGTGCAGCATCCAAGGGGCACCAAATTGATGCTATGAAATTTTTGGTTAATCTTCGGATTATGGTAACTTGGCGAAAATTTGGCGACCAACCCTGCTACAGCAACCTGCTAGTTTTTTTTTTTTTTTTTTTTTTTTTTGACGCCATTTTGTTTTTACGAAGTGAAGGGTTTTTTTTATATATTTTTACTTTTTATTTTTTTTTAACTCACTCAACGTTTTTTTCTGACAATCTGTGAGCCGAATTACGCTTATGCTAGAACTTTTATGGAACAAAAGTGCTTAATCATGATGAAGATTAGGTGCGAAATTGGGGGAAAGTGCAGAACCGCCCACTGCTTGGCGCGTTTTTAAGAATTGCACATACACGGTATCCATGTACACGTCGACCTATTTTCACTTAAAAAAAATATCTCAGAATTACACAAAAATGGCATTGCGCACACTCTTGACTTTGTCCATGTATACTACTAAAGTCCTAGCTAGTAACCTTTATCGCCTTACCAAAATGTCGCCAAACTACCTGTTACCATATTCCAAATATTTTAATGAAATGTTTTCCATTCTTGACACACAGAAAGAGGCGCAAATTCTTCAGTTGTCCCCGGGCGATGGAAACTCTAGTCACGCCCTTGTCACAGAGGCTTAAGTGTAAAGGGAAGGAAGACTGGTCTTCTGAACGGGTCCTTAAAGATGAAACTCATTTTCCTTTTCCTCTTTGCTAACAGCAGCTGTGCGAAGGAGCTTTGCATGTGAACAGGGCTTTAGTGTGTTAAATGAGCTTCAGTTTTTTTTACTTTGAAGCATATTTTTGTCTCTTTCATACACTATTTGCTACTAAATATGATAATAAGTGTAGACTTGAACTACATTTGTCATCATAATTACATCATGTTTATGAAATATTTCTATAATTCTTTGCATTTTTCAAATAATTACTCTTTTAACGCAATTTTTGGAATTTGTGTTATTTTTTGTATAACTTCTGCATTTAATCAAGGTTGATTTTTTTAACTGGTGCATTTAATATCTGTATTAATTTTTCTTTTTTATATTATAATGGTAAGTTCATTTTTGATAATAAGGAAAAAGTAGCAGCAGAAGGAAAGATAACAAAAACTTGAAAATGACCACTAAATATTTTGAATGAATAATTTTCCTAAGTTTCCATACAGCGGCGTAGCTAGGGTGGGGCAAGGGGGAACATCTGTCCATGGGCGCAGCATCCAAGGGGTGCAAAATTGGTGTTAAGAAATTTTTAAATGAAATGTTTTCCATTCTTGTCATGCAGAAAGGGACGGAAGTTCTTCAGGTGTCCCCGGGCGCTGAAAACCCTAGGTACGCCTCTGTTTCCAGATGTGTTTGGAGGGGATCACACATGAAATTCTTACCTGATAATTTGTAGATTCTCTTTAGTCCAAAGGGGCTTTGTCCCTGAGGGACTATTGTTTTCGTTTTGCAATTTTGCATTAAATCACTCTGAATGTCCTTTTGACTTTTCAAACTGTTGCCACCAAATATTATCACACTGTATTATATTTGAAGAATCTGCATAAATGTATGTATGTTTCTCACATTTTGATAAAATAACGGTACCTAGAGCCATTGAATTTTGAAAGACGTAATCCTACTGTGAATATGATCATCTGGAGGCCCAAATTTGAAATTTGGAATTTGTTTTATTATCGATTTCATATTTCATAAAACTTGAGCAAATTTTTAATTAACAATCTCAAGGATTTCAAAGCTGGCAATGGCAACATTGTACAGAAAAAAAACATTTTTATCTCCAGCATGCGAGACTGTATTGGAAATTCAAAAAATATGCTCAATTTAAAGTTATTTTGTGATATTGCTCTTGAACTGAATTTTATGATTTAAGTGCAAAGAACATGATATTTAATAAATGAAGGTAACACACAAAATGTTAAAGAAATGCCCCTTTGGACGTAATTTAAAATCTGAAACCTTTCAGTTTTATTTTATTTTTAAATCTTATATTTCAAAATCAAGACAAGGCATGCTTTGTAGCTTGTGCAGGTAGTCCTAATGTGCCTTCTAATGGTTTGTAATTACAAAAATATTCATTTGAGGTGAAACGTCACATGGTGAGTACATTGAGCATATAGTCATTGCATACATGTTTTTTCATTAGTTTGTTGTCTTTTTAATTTGTTACTGTATTCCATGGAAAACCATAAACTTTTGCTTATAGAATATTTATAGTAAATACTAAAATTATTACAATATTGATATTCAACGTAATTCTTATCTAGTTTGTTATGCTTACACTATTGCATAGATACTACAGGAAAAAAAAAAAAAAAATTGTTTCGAAGAAGTGCATACCGATCAAACTACATTGGCAATGTGAAACTTCATTCCTCTCAGCTGTCATGTCTAGTGTTGATACAATGCAAAAGAGCTTCATAAATCAGCCTCCTGTCACTGAAGAAGCTCTTAGTAAGCATCAGCACCTCTTTCATTTCAGGTGTGAAACTCATAGTATATATAAATCCTGTCTGCACTTTCTGAAATTCAGTTTATCATAAATGATGTGATGATTGAACGTATTCAGCCTTAATGTTCAATAGTGATGCCATGTTTTTCGTTGTGATATACAAGTTTTTATCACTTCCATGGCTGCCGTGTCATTTTCTGTGATTGCTGCACCCAAAGAGATTCCTCTTTGTCTTTATATTCTCATCTATTTGTACTTACACATCTGGCACTCTATCATATTCTGATTTAACGATAAGAATATGTATTGATTCCATTTCTTCATTTAATAAAATTTGTACACCACCTCATTGCTCTTGCTTGATTCAATGTTGCAAATAGCTGCCATCTTGAATAGTGTAGTATTCCTGTGCATGCTAAAATGTTCTATTCGTAGTCTATTCGCAGTTTCTATTAGTTTTGTTAGTAGCTAAAGGTACCTGTTTTGCATATCTAATATGATAATGATATGGGTCATACACATAATTTGTAATACAACTTCTCTTGTCTCATTTTGAACAGCTTAATATATTAACTTAAATTAATGTACCAGGAGAAGTGGAAAAGGGACACATTAAGTAACAAAATGAAAAATCGGATGCATCAAACAGAACAGCAATTCATCTACCATTGATATTATATTTTTGCAAAATGACATGATTTTTTTTTCGGGAAAAAGAATTGCAATTTAAAATAATAACTTTTAATTAAATAAAAAGTGTTTAATACATTTGTATACTTACCATAGATGCATATGGGGTACAAAATAATATGCACATTTGCAAAAAGTATGCTGCATTTCACATCTGCAGTACAAGTATGCCACTTATTACACAAGTCTGGTGGCTGTGGATGGAAATGCAATCAGTCTCTCAATATAAACAGCTGTCATAGATATTGCATCTTTCTGTTGCACTCTTTGAGGGAGATGTGATATGTAAGATATGACAGACTTTTGTAAAGACGTATGATTGTTCACCTGAGTTAACTAGAACTTTGATTATGGAAACAGAAAACTTTCCGGATTTGCAAGGATCATACTGTCAGCTATCATGACAGCATACATGCAAAACAGTAAGATGGCATCTCCTAACAAGAACAAGGTAGCTGTATGTTGAAGCACATAGTGGCTCAAAACCATAAGCAATTACTATTCCAGCTATTCGAAATTAGCATGTATCTCCTGGACCCTGTTTGAACCAAAACTTCAATCCATGCTGACAGTACTTATAGTATCAATTTTAAACCCTTGGCGATATCATGTAATGCTTTAAAGCAGATTTTTGTGGTGCAGAGCTCACGTAAGCTTAACCTCACAGTAGTTACAGCAAGTCTTCTAATCTGATGAATCAACATTCATCTTATTTCAGACCACTGGTGCATTTATATCTGGAGAAAGCCCAGAGAAGTGCGTATGTTCTCCTGCCTGTTATTAAGCTGTAAAGCGTGGAAGTGGATGTATATGCACACACATCAATCTGTACACATGTATGTGTCTGTACCTGTGTACTTTTAATCTAATAATGAGGGTTTTTTAATGTTTTTTTTTTTTTTTTTTTTTTTTTTTTTTTTTTTATTAAGGGATAGATTTTATATCTGACATGTGATCCAATCATACAGAACCTTGTTAATCAAGATGTACTATAAATTATTTTGTAAAGCCACAACTGAAAGAACTTGTCCTTTTGCTTAGTGTAATTTTAAAATTTAAGCAGTGTCAGATAATGTTGAAATATTTACTTCATGCCATTGTGTGTATGCTGTAATTGTTAGGTCTTATATATGTTTATTTGCATGAGATTCAGTTTTTATGTTATTCTTTATTTTGCTATTTTTTGTCATCTAGATAATAGAGTATTTTTTTCATTTTTAGGATAATTCTCCTATAGATCTTCTCAGTTATCAAAGTGTTGCAGAACTAGAAGCTCTTGGTCTGGAGAGATTAAAAACCGCTTTGATAGTTCGAGGTTTAAAATGTGGTGGAAGCATTTCGGATCGGGCACAAAGATTGTGGAAAATTCGAGGTTTAGAGCCACATGAATATCCACCAAATTTGTTGGCTAAAAAGAAAAAATAAACTGTCAGAGCATTTGCTTTAATATCATATGCATATATTTCGTAATCTTGTTAATATTTTAATTTTAAATAAAAATAATAATTATTTTTTGCTTGCACACTTTTTATGTCTGTATTAAAATTAAAAGCTATAAAACATCTTAAGTTGTCTTGACAATGGAATGAAAGAATTGGATGAGATAGAAAAATTGGGAATCTTCAGCATTCTGAGTAACATGGTTATTTATGCACCATTAGTGGCCAAATTGTGCACATATCAGAACCAATTTAAGATGTGTTCTGGCTGCACAGGAAGTACAACCTGAAACAAAGGATTTATTTTATATGCATATATTATGTGCGAATGTATTCATTTTCTCTGTATGAAATAAGGGATGGCTGCATAACAAATCCTGTCATAAAAATAAACTTTTTTAGGTTGGCTGCAATTAAAAAAGACAGAAACTTTCATAAGAATATCCTAGCATCCTTATCAACTTCAAGATCACTTTGTTGAAAAAAAGCAACCTTCACAAGTTATGGGCACCTTTATACTGGCACTTATGCAAGTCACCTTTTTCTTTGACTTAGGTTTGACGACAAAAATTAGACTTACATGGAGGGCAGTTTTATAACAGAATACTCTTATGAAGTGGTCTCTGAAGAAGTAGTTACAGGATGTTAGTCACTTCTTCAAATCATATGTCCAATTTGTGACAATGCAGTCAATTTATGTAAAGTTTTCAGTTAAAAGTAAATCAAAGTACATCACTGTTTGTAAGGTTTGTTGATTATCAGCAACATATTGCTGTCAGGCATGTTGATTTTCAGTAGTCGAGATCACTGTTGGTCAACCATTTGGTACTGGTGTGGAATGGTCTGTTCATTCAGGTAGATTTTTTAAATAAATTTCATGTGAAGCAAATTAAGGGCAGGAAAAAATGTTGGTCATCAGTTGCTGACCATCACCAGTGGTTATATCAGTGTTTAAGCCATATATAAATAACTATTGTTAGGCAGTGCAGTTAATTAACATAAATGTGTTTTTAAAATAAAATTGAAGGGTACTAATGCCTGTCAAAACAATTGTTCATTCATGATTTACAGCTATGGCCATTTTTAATCAATCAGTATGTCACAGACATTTAACCTTCCAGCATGTGCATCATGGGTAAAGTTTACAACAAATTCGGTTTTTAATGCACATTTTTTGCATATCGCAGCTGGGATGTTTGAAGGTCATTTTTATTATTTCTTTCAACCCTTCCTCACATACGGGAATATACCAACAGGAAGTCTTATGAATTTTTTTAACTGTAATTTGTCTCAGTTTCTTCATAAAAGTTATGACACGTGCGTAGTTGTTAGTGAAAATTCTGAATATCAAGTGTTTTGTAATTTTATGTTGTTAACTGATGTGTATTATTTTAATTTGTATAAATTTGACTCTATAATTTTTTTATATTGGTTTTCACGGCAAAAGAAATATGTGCAACCAGCTGATTTTGCTTGCATTCTTCAAGAATTATCTGATGAAGAAAAAGAAGTTAAGGGAATCTTTGAAAGTGAGAACAATAGCGATTTGAGTGAGAAAATATAGAAATAAATATGAAATGATTTGATGATAACTCAACAAGACATGACAGGCATAAAACCGACAAATTGGCAGCTATTCGAAATATCTTTGAATCATTTCTAAAATATTGTAATGGTTGCTACACTTTGGGTGAATTCGCCACTATTGATAAGATGCTGCATCCCTTTCAAGGTCGCTGTCAATGGATTTAGTACATGCCTAGTAAACCATCGAAGTATGGAATAAAAATGTATGCTTTGTGCGATCCAAAAACATTTTATTTGTCCTCAAAATTTATTGTGGAGCCCAACCTAGTAGTTGTTAGGCTGTTTCAAACAGTCCTATGGATGTTGTGAAAAGGCTGGTCTCTCCACTTGAAAACTAATGTAGAAATATTACAACAGATAATTACTACACAAGCATCCCACTTGCAGAAACTGACTTTTATTGGAACATTAAAAAAAAATAAGAGGGAAGTGCCACAGGAATTTTGCCAAATAAGAGATGGATGGTGCAAACAGCAGTGTTTGATTTCCAGCAAAGTCCTTATTTCTTACGTTCCTCTCAGAAATAAAGCTGTAATTCTTTCTACTAACCATGATGGTGGCAGCATTGATACAACCACAAATAAACCTGAAATAATCATGGATTATAATGTTACAAAAGAAGGAGGGGACACCATCGATAAATTGTGTGCAATCTGTTTAGTTTCGAGAGTCACAAGGAAATAACCTTGTGCTATCTTTTTCATTCTTCTGAATATTGTTGGAATAAATGCCCAGATTTTGCACATGCTTGCAAAGCCAGCTAACACAGCACCATGGCAAAGGATCTTCCTGATGAATTCATCTATTAGTCTTATAAAAGAGTATCTTCATTCACGCTCCAAAATCCAAATATTACTCCGACGTTTAAACATTTCGAAGCCAGCTAACTCAGCATCATGCCAAAGAATCTTCCTAAAGAATTCATCTATTAGTCTTATGAAAGAGCATCTTCATTTTGCGCACCAAAATCCAAACATTATCTTCTGACATTTAAACATTTCGAAATTGTAATTATGCTGCTCCTAATGATGAAGTAATCCGCATCAAAATGAGGAACATACAATTTGTGTGTCAGAGATAAAACAAGATCATCAGCATCTATGAAATGCAAGACATACCTTAGATACACATGGTAAACGTCATTCTATTACCGAAATTATTTTCATGGAATGCAATGTGAACTTTGAACTTTGAGAAATATCTTTAGAATTCTGTTTTTTATTACTACTCTAGTCTATTCTGTTTCTATTATTACTATTCTTTGTTTTCTTTTATTTTTTAGAAATAAATTAAAATATTAAAGTTAGTTTAAAATTAGTTATTGTTACCAATAAGAAGTAAATTTCCTTGCAGAAGTAAGTAATGCTAAATTTATGTTTTTCCTTACCAAGGTGAATATATTTTCTTTTTTTATTTGTCTATACTTACCTTTGATGAACATTAAAACTAGTTTGGATTTTAAAATGTAGTTATTAAGTAATAAATTTTAAATTTTCTATAACAAAATACATCATTGCCTTTCCACCTGACTAATATAAGCGCTTAAAAATAATTTACTTTCATTTGAGTCTGACATCATTTGCATTTTGCAATAATAAAGTTAATATTTTATTTCATAACAAATTTATTATCAATATTCACTCACTTCTGTCATTTTTCTTGCCAAAAACGGTGAAATAACAGATGTGGTAAAAAATACGATGTGCGCATACTCAGGTAAAATTGCCAAGCATGAGTACTGGAAGGTTAACAGTGCAGTTAATTTAGAAATAAAATTTGAAAATTGAATTGAAACACATCCATACTGATCAAAACAGTAGGTGACCTGCAAATTGTCAGTCTGTAAGTCACCAGCTTAGAGCAGGGGAATAAATTTCAGAAAAAAAAAATAATTAAATAAAATTGCACTGGAGAATGCATCAAATATTATAGTAAGCCAATCAAGATATTTAGTCAGTGATGATAGATTTTTCGATTAAACTAAATTAAAGCAGACCGGTGCTCATTAAGCTATTCGTTATTGGTATTAAGAGTTGTTTATCAATCATCTATATGTTGAGAGTTAAATCAAATCAACCAATAAGTCCCAGGTATGGAGCAGTGTAGTAAATATAGAAATAATGTAAAATTAAATCTCAGACCTTCATTGTCCATGAATGTAGTTCATGGACAATGAAGTGACTCGAAGACTGATTGGTGTCACTGGTCATCAACCTCTTAAGTTCCTATGCATTTGGTGGTGCAATAAATTTAGATATATTTTAAAATTAACTACAAGGACATCAGTGCCATTTATCACTGGTAACTTATGGATTTTCAGTTATCCATGGGGGGCAGTAAATGTTGTAGCAGAGGTTACACATAGCAGAACAGTAGATGATAAGCAATGCGATATAACCCTCTAAATTTATGGAAAGACTCTGCTAAAAACATTTCTGAAATCACTATCTGCTGTTTAGAAAGCTGTTTAGTTTTTATTTATAAGGATCAATATTGTACTTGTTTTTAATTTCCTGAACGTCGTGTGTAAATAAGTTGTGTATTGAAGGATATGTTTTTGAGCTTTCCAAAGAGAAATATTCCTATTCCATAATTAAAAAATGTGCATGGTATTAAAATTTTTAAGTGCAAAATAAGCAATATTTTCTATCGGAAAGGGTAAAACCATCAATCATTACTTCTACATTAAAGGAAAAAAAGAAAAGATTTCTAACTAATACCCGAAAAAGGTACGTATTGTTTTTAATGCTTTTTTTTTAGAGTTAAATCGTTGGTAGCAAGAGAAACCCGCCGATGGAAAACATGGCGCTCGATAATATAAGACGAAATTTCTGATTATTTATGAACGTTTTTATGGGAGTCCAATAAGTGACAAACTCGCAATACAAGACAGAGTAACTCAAAAAAGTGTTGGGGAGAGAAAACATTCAGACAAAATTTTAGCAAATCAAGTATTGCAAAACTAAATATGTTTTATTGCTTTTTGTGTCTAAATAGTACGCTAAATGTATCATGATGAATAAAGTTAAATAAAACTAATGAGCAAATGGGATGACTTTAAATACGAAATTGAGATTATAAGTATTTCGGCATTAAGCTAACAAACAAGATAAAGATGCAATTCTGGCAGATTTTTCTAATGCCTGGAAGAAAGATTTTAAACCTGAAAAAGATAAAGGAGCTTTCTTGTTAACATGGGTTTAAGTAATTCTGTGATGTCTCTTGACGTGAGAAAACATAACTTTTCATTGGAATTGTGGAAAATCCGAAGGAAAAATAGGTGAACTGTTGAATAAGCAGATACACTGGTCATAGCATAATTTCTAAATACCATAAAACAAATTTCATTGGTAACAAATCTCGAATAGGACATTCAAGCTGCTTCAGTTAACATGACGGAAAGTGGAACATTAGAAATATAATTTGTAATTACAAAACAGTGCAATCAAACAAACTTTAGAAGCCTAACAAATATTTAGCAAGTCTGCTAATGAAAAAAAAAAAAAATTAGGAATATTTTAAGAGAGGATAATGGCTGAAAACTAGAAGAAAGTGGTCTCTCTGTAAGAAGAAAGTCATTTCTCTGTAAAGTGAATCGAAGGGCAAGATTTCAAAACTTCATTAGTTACACGTGGTGGAAGTTGCCAGATGATCTGAGGTTCTAAGTGCTTGCGGCGTTGGAAATCTAATGTTTTACTGATGGCAAAATGAATTAATTTATTATTCAAATAACTTGAAACAGCTCTCAATAAACGAGCATATTCTAGCATTGCAAACTATCGGGACAATGGTCCTAGCATTATGCTCTTATTTGCAAACCGCGGACTTCTTAGAAGTGCCCACGTACAATCGGAACGCCTACGTGAAGTACAAACCTCCTAATATCCTACTGAGCAAGTTTAAGGTAATGCTTAAAAGAGTTAATAAATGTAGAGAAGAACTCACTAAAGAATGGGAGGAAAAATGGAATTAATTCTTTGTCAAAATCGTGTGAAATACATGCCTAGAAGACTCAGTTAAGTTTTCATTATTCATTCAATCATCTTAAAATCATTTCAATTTTTAAAAAAAAATAATTTTGAGATTTTTTTTCGTTTTGTTTAGCCTTCAGATATATGACATATAAGAAAAATATTTCGTTAAAGTTAAATGCTTTCTTATTGTTTCAAAAGGTGTTTAAAAGCTTATTGTGCCCCAATAGTTTTTTGACTGACTTTCCCTGTACCTGTCATCCACAGCAAGCTCGATCAGTCTAGAAATAACTTTTAAAAAGACCACTGGGCGAACGGATTGTCCAGTTTCGTACCTTAAATCCAAGGGAAGTCGAGTGGAATATTTTAGAGAGAAGTCCAAATATGTATGATGTATGTAATTTACAAACTGCCGGCCTATAACAGAGGCAAACTTTCTGTTTTATTGGTTTTCCCGCCAGCTGATTGATGTCGTCATAAGCACTATGAAAAACTGCTAATGGTTGTACATTGTTGGAAGCAGGAATAATTGCATTATCATTTATATCGGGTTTTAACGAAAGTTTCCTTCCACCACAAATACCGTCCGCGGAAACAGTTCGCGTTGGCGTGTTTAATCATATTTTGTCCCAACAATTTTTGGCATTTGAAAAAAGAAAAAGACCTGTTTTTTAGAACACTGTATTGTTAAATTTGTAAAAAAATAACGTTATCATTAAGTACAAGGTGTCTGAAATGGAACTATCACGCTACCAGATTAGAATCATCATTTACTTCCACTTCTGTTGCAAAATGTCAGCTGCAGAACGTCACCAAATCATGTGTAGAAATTTAGGTACTGATGTTGTATCATATGACACTGTTGAAGGTTTAGTACCGAAAAATCAAGAACAAGGACTTTGACATTCAAGAAACTGAGCGCTCTGGCCGGCCTATTGATGTTGATGAGGCCCGCGTGCGAGAACTTGTGGAAGATGATCAGTATACAACCACTTAAAAGCTTACTCAGGAGTTAGATGTTAGTGCCATGTGCACTCGTCACGCTATGCGTCACATAAATTTGACGTACAAGTTCAATCGCTGGGTTCCGCGTGAGGTGACTCAAGCAGATAAGGACAGACGTGTTCGGGCCTGCACAAATCTGCTCGAATATCAACGCAAGGACAAAATTCTGGATAGGATAGTCATTTGTGATGAAACGTGGATGAAATCGTTTATTTCAACAACACAGGCTGAAAAAGGGGTTGGCGTGTGCCCAGTGAGCCCGTCGGCAGCATCGCAATTTGACTAACAAAAAGATCATGCATTGTAGTGGTATTATTCACAATGAGTATCTGGAAAATGGTAAACCTCTCGACAATAAAGTGTACAGCAAGATGCTAGTCCCTGTTGACGCTGCTATCAAGGAAAAACGTCGAATTGAGTTCCGGTGCAAAAAGTTAATGTTCCATCGAGGTAATTAATGTAAGACACACGTGTCTGCATTCACCGGCTGGACTCGTACGGACTCGAATGGGACCTTTCGCCACACCCACCATATAACCGCGACATCGCACCTTCTACCTTTTTTCACACCTGCTTGCTGGCGTTATTTTCTATTCTCTACAGGACGTCCGAAATGAGGCAAATCTGTTTCTGGACTCCCAGCCACCAAGTTTCTGGGCCGAAAGCTTTGAAAAACTACCAAGACAAATTTGGGTAATGATTACTATCCGTACTAACGGTACGGCTTTCATGTTTCCCCCTCCTAACTTTATTAAAAACGTTTTTTTGAGGAAAACTTTCTTTACAACCAGATATTTAGTATCTCATTAAATGGCAAATTCATCCATAAGTTAATTTTTCGCTGAAGAAGTTTCTCCTGTAAAAAATCTGTGCTTACGTGTTAATGGAGAAGGATTGATTAACTTTGGTGGCAATGGCAATCTACTTGCTCCAAACCAGTTATCCACTCGTATTTCTACCGATTCCATGTCTTGAGAACATCGCCATGCGCTCTTCGATTGACTCGATTAAAACTTCATTTCGTGCAAACTGGAACACTGATGGTTATTTGGCAATATAGTATCCTCCTGTAAGAAACTAACAGCATCGCCTTCATTGTTTGGTAGATGTCACAAACCCATGGTCAAACTATGAACTCCGCAAATAATAAAATAAAATTCTCCGCTCTTAAAACTGCGGCTTATATGCACTCTTAAAACAGCCACTTCATAGGGCTGTAATAGCTATTAATTTGTGGTATGGTGCCGAAGCTGGCAACTATCTGATCTTTTTTTGGCGAATTTTGGTTTCTTCTCCGTTAACTCGAAAGTACCAAAATATATTTTATGCCACTTTTAAAACTGTGTTTATGATATGAAAGTTGCATGTCAGAGATTTCATATCCTCAAACCCATTATATTCTTTTTATAGTGAGAACATATGGCAGTTTTAATGACTGCTTTTTAACGCTTAATATAATATGCAGTTATGTTTTATTATTATACCTCCTTTAATTTAAATGGACTAATTTTGAATACTTCTCTATTTTTTAGCATTGAAAAAGAGCAGAAGGCAGCTACGGTATTCCGTGAATTATTGTAGAATATTTTATAGTTGCAAAAGTCCTCAGTGATAAAACGCGACATTCATTTGTATCTGACAGTTATAACAAGCTTATAATCATAGCTAAAAGCCGAAAAAGTGCTGAAAATAATCTTGAATTTTTCAAGCCAAATTCTTAACTTAAACAGTTTTATTTTATGAAAAAATTAATCAAGAAATTATCAGCAAATACTCTTAGAAACGTTTGGTATATTTTAGGAAGTAAATGAAAAGTAAATAATTTGAAAGACGTCCAGTTTGATCCTCTCTACGTGATATCATTAATCTAGATTTTCAGCTATTACTTACTGAAGATAAATGAAAGATCTTATCCATAGTTGAATTCATTGCAAACACAGTAGTGTTTAAAAATGTAACTTACACGAAATACACGAAATAAAAAATTCTAAATAACTCTAATTTCAGAAATTCTGCTGTGGAATATTGTCAGTATCAATGTTTAGGAAAAATCAAATTTGGATCATAACAGTGCTGATGCTACTATCTTCCTGGAAATATGTGTGTTCGTTTGTTGGAGATTTTAAACTTATGACGTCAGTTTAGGAGCGCTTCTCAAACAACCACCTTCTATGCAAGCTCTGCTGAGGTGGTAATAATAAACTTTGGCCGACTTGGCAGTTTTGGCTTGAAAAGAGAACAAAATTCACCCTCTTTCCGCCCACGTAAAGAGTCGCATCTCAACGTTCTTCATTAAGAAAACGAACGAAACAGACAGAAGAACCACTTCGAAAGATCGACAACGTTGTTTTCGAACATAATTTCATTAGAGGATAATCTGACCTTGTAACAGAGCACAAAATGAGAGGTCGTGAAATTATTGTTTGGAGATATCCCAGCAGAAATCAAGGATATTTATCTTTGCCTGTACTAGTGCAAGTTGATTTTGAAGTTTTCGGCGATCTGCAAGGTTTGTTGTTTGGTATTTCTTGATTATAAGAAAATATTTTTGAAAAATAGAATTTATATAATAAATAAATGTTGGAGAAACCCATTTATTTAGCTAAAAGTAGGTTATTTTAAAAATATCTTACTACACGAGCCAATACCTTAGATTTTATGTATTTATTTATTGTTTTGAAAGGTTACGCTGGCTTGTTTTACACCTGTAGCTAATTTCAAAGTGAGCGTAAGAACTAAAATACACTATTTCACTTTTAGTTTTCAGGAAATGTCATTCTAATATAATGCAGAGATAAACAGATAATCAGGTATCACATAAGGGATTTCCCATCAGCTTTTCATTCACGGTTTTGAAAAACAGTTGATAAATCTCATTAGTGTGTATGTTAAAACTTCTGTTTTAAAAAACTGAAGGTCAATAATTTAAAACCTTTCATCATCTAAATGTTTGCTTAATTCTGTGATTTAAATCCAATGTACTCTCTTTGACTCATGAATTCTGATGTTAATTAAATATGTTATTCTTTTACTCCTCTCCATCTGATTGAAGTATGCAAATATGGGGCTTCAATTTACGAAGGAGTATTTTAAAGAAGCATATATTTATCCATTCCAAAGAAGTATAAATTCTCAAAATAAAAAATGTCAGGTCACTGAATGGATCACATAAGAACATTGATTAAAAATAATAATAAAAAAATGCAATGCATAAAATAAAAATTAAAAAAAAAAAAAAAAAACTGTAAGGGTTCAAATTTTAACGGCCACCCAGAAGAGTTTGTTAACGTTTTATATGCTTTCGCTGAGCTCGCAGTCTACCAATCTGCTGTTGCACTCTCTCCCATTAACCCATTTCTTTCTGTCTTTTTGCTTTATTATTAAGCACCATTTTCTGCATATTTATTCACATTGTACAATTCAACAGCAAAATTACAAAAATTTTAAAAGCGGAATAGCAGCAAATATTTAGATTTCCCGATGCAGTGTTAAGTGTTGGCATACATTTTTCTATTTTCTTCTTTATATTTAATTTCTTCATTATTTAATTTCTTTATAGTCTTTTCTCAGTTCATCATATCAACGTTCAGTTTTCTTCGTAAGACAGATTTCAAATTTTTTTTGGTCTTTTTATTATTAACATTTTGAGGGTTAAATTTATTACTTAAATATCATATTCTTCACACTTACACCCTATAAAATTGAATTCAACTGTAAAATCACAAAATATTTAATAGCAGTATATCTTTAGAATTTCCGGAAGACAAGTCTCGTCCGTTGAAGGAAAAAAAAAAATTCTTTATTCCGTACAGTGTTGCCACTGCTCGCTTTCAAATCTTTGAGTTTGTTAATCAAAAATTCATGAAAATTTTACAAAATATAAAATACAGAATTCAACAATCGGGCTTATAAGTGCACATGTTCAGATGAAGGCTTATATTATTCAAAATTTGATAGCTCTAGGTATCTTCGTTTTTTCACAGTGTGAGGAACATATATGCATACAAGAAGATTCTTCATTATTTAATTTCTTTAAAAATAATGCAAGACGATAATATTTGGTGGCAACAATTTGAAAAGTGATACTACAACCGTTTATAATGGACGAGTTTTTCTTTATTATTTTAAACTTAGTCTCACATTTTATACAGAACGTAAAATTAGATCACAAAAAATCAAATTGAGCTTTCTAAATGCACTTTGAATTAAAAAAAAAATTCCCTTTCATTCATAATTTTAACGTCATTTTTATTTGATCCAAAATTGCGCAATTCTGTATGTATATATATGGTCTAATTTTGAATTTTATTGATAATAATTGGTTAATTTTTTTAAAGAAATTTTAATTTGAAAATATTGTTTATAGGCCAGAAGTTGCTGTTTTCTCTAAATAAAAAATAACTTTCTTGTTTAGCGACTGTTAGAATTTTGTTGTTTAAAGTTATCTGATAGCAGATTGAGGCTTTTTTTAAAATGGGCTGCGGAACACTGGGTAGAAATCGCGATTCTTCTGAAATAGCTTTATTATAGAAAGGAGCAACTGAAATTAAGCGCTGCACTGATTTACATTATATGATTTAGTTTAAGAAAACGGAAAAAAAGGCATACTTAGCCTTTTCTTCCGCTTTTTCTTCATTTCGTTTTTCGTATGTCATTCTTGATTTTATGTGTTTTCGTGTTTTCCCCATGTGTAACGTGTATACGAGCCAGTTTCCCTTAGAAAGTCCTCCACGAAGGCACCCCTCCCCCTTAGACAGATAGACCTAGTGTGTTTTGCCATAATTAAATACACCTACACAACCACCATTCTTGATTTTATTTCATTGGGCTGAATAAAGATTCTTTAATGTAAGTTTCATTCGCTAATTTTCCGCTAATTCTCGATAATTTACATGTAAGTTTATTGATTACATAGCAGATTTATCTTGAACTAATAATTCTTCTGATATCCACTCCTGTTACATTCTGTGTTATAGGTCGAGACAATAAAAATATTTCGCAAAATTGCAAGACTACTTTTTTCTTTTTAAAATTTCTTGCGCGATATTTTATTTCAATTACATCTGAAACAATTTTCTTCAATTCCATTACTAAAGAACTGCTACAGCCTAAGCTGATTTAAAAATAAATAAATATTTATTGCTGTATTTTGTTTTGATTTTAAAAAAAGAATTTGCTGTATTTTATTTTTCTTTTTAACAAGAATGTAGCAGTCATAGCTGCGTTTTGTACTCCATAGTGATTGTTATAGTTTTATGCGACGCCTAGTTTTTAGACACTACATATTTTACACGAGGCTAACTCATATATTAATGTTATTAGCATCACAAACTAGCGAACAAATAAGAAAATGTAGTGGAATAGCTATAAAAGCTATTTAACGAAGTTTCGGATAAATTAAACTATTTTATTCTCTACTCTTAGACCTTCCTGATAATTTTATAGACTTTTGGGTCATTATTAGATTTTTAATAGGCCAGATATAAATCGAATGAAAATAATAATGTCTAAAACATACATTTTACATGGCGACTGGTCTTTCTGTATGTTTGGATAAAGTCTTGAAATCGAATTTTGATTAGATTTGACACAGACGATTCTTTTGAAAGTCTGTATAAATGCGTGTTTGAGGTGGCAGTATAATATTTCGTCTCGATTTAATTAAAATTTTATACAGACTTTTTCCCTCCGGAACGGCAAGAGAGTTGAGTTTCCAAAGAGGTATCCACGGATTTCAAAATTTCGTGGGAAGGCATTTCGACCATTATCATCTTCGCACGACTTTAATCAGCCGAGATATTAATTAAAAACTCTGAAAACGCTAATTTTCGCTGCTTTATTTCGCTGCTATATTATTAAATTTGCTTTATTTCGAAAAGTGTTGCCACTGCTCGCTTTCAAAGCGTAGAGTTTGTTAGAAAATATCTTGTGAGTTTTACGAAATATGAAATAAAAATAGCATTGCCAAACATTAAATATATTATTAGTTTAATGGGACTTTGTCCCTGAAGGACTATTGTTTTCGTTTTGCAATTTTGCGTCTAATCACTCTGAATGCCCGTTTCACTTTTCAAACTGTTGCCATCAAATATTATCGCCCTGAATTATATTTGAAGAAATTAAATAATGAAGAATCTGCATAAATGTCTATAGTTTTCTCGCTTTTGTGATAAAACAACGGTACCTAGAGTCATCCAATTTTGAATAACGTAATCCTACTGCGAATATGGGCATCTTTAAGCCCAAATTTGAAATTTGGAAATTGTTTTATTATCAATTTCATATTTTGTAAAACTTTCACAAATTTTCAATTAACAAACTCAAGGATTTCAAATTGAACAATGGCAACGTTGTGCAGAAAAATTTTTTTATCTCTAGCGCGTGAGAGTGTGTCTCGGAATTTCTAAAGATATGCTCAATTTAAAATTATTTTGAGATACTACTTCGCACTTAAACCATAAACTGAATTTTATGGTTAAAGTGCGAAGAACATGGTACTTAATAAGTAAAGGTAACACACAAAATGTTAAAAAAACGCCCCTTTGGACGTAATTTAAAATCTGAAACCTTTCAAAATTTATTTATTTTTTATTATTAATACATAAGGTCATATTGTGACGTTGAACAAAGCACGCGATTACATGTGACGTCTTTGTAAGTCGAAAATTTTTCGTCTAGGATAACTGACACGATATATTATTATTACATTAATTCTTTTACTGATATTGAGAAAAGTTGTTATACTATATTAATTTTAAACCAATGACGTCTTACGTATTAACATGAAGTGTCAAATGTTTTTCTTTCCTGTTTGACAACAAAGAAATTATTTACGAATTGGATGTTGCTTGGAAAGAATGAACTCATTTCATTTATATTGAAATATTTTTATGCATTTTTTTTTCAAGTGTACATAATATATATATAAGTTTTGCTTTGACCGCAGCCCGCTCATTTGGAGGGCTTGCCCACTGGTTTGTTTATAACGGCTTAAAATTTTCACATACAGTAAGACCCCGCTTAACGCGGGGGATACGTTCCATCAAAATAGAGCGTAATGCGAAACAGCGCTAAACGAGGCTATCTTTACATGTAAATATTGGGTTAGGGAAAGATGGCTAGAAATTCGTTAGGTTTAAATTTAAAAAGTATGTTTTTTAATAAAAATAAAACCAAACATTTATTTCTTAAGCCCAATTAATACCACATATTTATTTCTTGCAAAATAAACAAAATATAATAACAAAACGAATTAATAATTTTGTGCATCTTTCAAATCAGATAAGGTGGTTCAGTGAGTTCACTAATTTTAACACTTTACATTTTTAACAATATTTTATTACTATATACAGAGCGTATTCTTGGGGGGCCGCCGCCTTCAACAGAACAACTTTATCTGGTACAACTAGTGAGCAACAGCGCCTCTGAGGACTTTCCTTCAATACACAACACATATTCTTAAAAAACAATAAATTCTAAGTCAATTTAGTTAGCAAATTTAGTAAAATT